AACACAAATGAGTGAAAGTTAATCAAACTGTTGGAGCCACCAGGATCTGTTCTGGGGTCCAAACATAGCTTGGGAAGACAGAAGCCTCAGGGTCATGCAGATTTGACCCAAATTACAAGTCTGGTTGCTGAGGAACTGAGAATTATAAACAAGATACTAATCCCCTAGGGTGATGGAAGAGCAGCTTCATCCAGAGGGTAGGAGGGTGAAGAGCTCGTACAGTACTGTTGAAAATTACCAGGGACGGAGGACTCGAGAGGATGGTGCAGCCCTGGAGGGGACACCCTACCTCTCAGCTGAAAGGTGGCTCTGGGCTCAGCCCACAGAGCCCTCCACTACTCCCAGGCCACAGTCTGTACCTCAGCCGTGACAATTAGGGTCACTGGTGGATCAAGATAAGCCCCTCCAGTTCCACCCAAGGGTTTTCACCTCTCCAAGCCTCAGTTTTCACATCTGTAAAATGGACGTAATAAAACCAATCTCCCAGGATCCCAGGGAGGTGTAAATGGGATGAGAGATGAGAGTGAGCTTTGAAAATGGTGCCATTACATATTTGTTTAGCAATGAAAAATAACATCTTCCAATACCAAATTGGGTATAGTTTACCAGCAAATTGTAAAGGTCTTTCTCATTTACATGGAGATAAACTACAGCTGACACACAATCTTTTCTGCCTGAGAGCTCACTTTTTATTTACCATTTGTTGTCCCCTCCTACATCCACACTCTGTCCTCCAACCAACCTGGCTTCCCTCTTGACCACGGGCTTCCATGAATCCATGTTTCTGACCCCGCGTCATGCAAACACACACAAGTGCCACAGACATGGAAACAGCCGGCAGGAATAGATTTGGCAATCCTGGGCTGTTTTGCCATCTGAACGTGACTCTGGCAGGCGGGAGCAGGCAGTTACTTACAGCACGTGGGGCAAAGACCATGTCAATTCCAGTTGCAAAGATGTCATCACACCAGCTATGACCAAAAATGTTCTTTCCCCTAATGTTACACTTCCAGCAGAACTCACATGTTCAAGCCCCGCCCAGAAGTTACAAAAGAATTACATAATATGGGGTTTCCCCTGCACTGTTTCAGGTCGCACCCTTCTGTTTCTGTCCTATAGAAAGGACAAATTAACATCTGGCCCAGATTATGGGATTCTTGCATCCGCTCAAACTGAACTAGCTGCCGCCAGCTGCTGCAAATGAGGACTGTGTGTTCTTCGGGTAGGAGGTTCATCGATAATTTAAAATTCAAACCAAGGGCTGTGGACTTTGTGGAAAGAGGAGCAGAAAGCTTGGGGGAGCCCCTGGGTAGCATTTGGGGTAGCATTAATAATGACTTAAACCAAACACAGCGTGGTTATCATTACCAGAGAACAATGTCGGGAAACAGAAGACTTGGGTTAGAGTCCTGGTTCCATTAAGTACTAGTTTCAGTGCTAAACTCTGCACCTGGTTTCTTATGGAAATAGAGGTAGGACTGTTGGAGCCATATTTTCTTTGCAGACCCCTGGCTCCACATGCCTTGCTTGGAGTGCTCTGCTCATGCCGTAAATGGTGCTCCCTGGTCACTGATTTCACACAGTCTTATACCAATGGCCGATTAAGCCACCTACAGCCACCCAACATCCCCACTTTATGAAAGGGAAACTAAGGCAGAGAGTGATTAAGTCATAAGCAGTGCATGAAAAAGCTGGGGAAAGTGGATAATCCAAGGTCTGGCTCCAAAGCACAAGAAAGCCTAGTGCCACCTTGGTTAATGCTTCAGAAGAGGTGATGAAACTGTTTGCTACCCCCACCCCCTGCCCCCAGTTCCTGCTTTCCCGACTGGCCCTGAGCCCTGCACCTTACACACTCCACTGTGCCGCTCATCAGACTCGGAGCCATTCCCTGCTGTGAGGGTCCAGCGTTTGTGGTTCTTGAGCCCTATTGGAAAAGATAGCTGAGAGGACCATGTGAGGGGACAGCCAGCATGGGGGGTAGGCCCTAAGGTGGTTGAATTTTGCTTCTTCCACACCATGAGGACAGGCTGGAAGGCAAGCCAGTGTATCTCATCTCTGCATCATCTCAGTTTTGAGTAAGTTAAGAAAAATGGTTTCTCTAAATACTTAATTTCCCTTCTTCCCGCCCCCCCTCCCACTTTTTTTTAAGGTTTGGAATTGGAGTGGAGCATGGAAAAGCACAGAGAGAGAGAGGAGGAGGGCAGGAAGGGATTTTGAGAGTATCCATTTCACCTTGTGTGAAGAAACTTTTTCTTTATCATGCAGAACAGAAGACAGTTCTTTTTGGTTTAAATAAAAAATGCTTCCCCATTAACTGGCTATGAAAGGGTAAGACTGAGGCACAGACACTGGATTAGAGCCAGAAAGGCTAATTTTCCCTCCCTTCCTCCTCCTGCCCCACCAAGCTCCACCCCTTCTGTTGTGGTCGAGCCTCTCTCCTTTCTAGAATAGTTTTCCCAGTGTGATCCACAGACTCCTGGGGCCTCTGAGACTCTTTCTGGGGGATCCTTAAGGTCAAAACTAGTTGCCTTTCTTACTGGGTAGACACTTGCACTGGTGGTGCAAAAGCAAAGGCAGGTGAGTCTGCTGGTGCCTTAGCATGGATCAGACGAACCAGGGAGGGGGCACTAAACTGTGCTAATAGTCATCGCGTTCTTCATCACTGTGCACTTGCAGAAAAAAGAAAAAAAAGGAAAATACCAGTTGCACTCAAGAATGTCCTCAACAAAGTAGTAGAAACTAACTTTACTAATGGAATGTACATCTTTTAAATAAGATAAATAAAACAGGAAGCACACAAAGAAGTGCTGTGTACTCAAGTGTGGTGGCGGCTCTGAGGAAAAGTAGCTGCATAGTGGAGTTGCAAGCTAAACTAATCACTTTATTCATGAACACCATTTATACCTGAAAGGACAACTGACAAATGACATTTATTCAGACTTAGCGATATGGATTGAATTGTGTCCCCAAAATTTTATGTATTGGAAGCTTGATCCCCACGGTGACTGTTAGGAAGGCAGGAAATCCTATTATGGTGGTTGAAAGGTGGCATCTTGAAGAGGTGATTAAGTTGTAGGACCATGCCCTAATGAATGGATTAACAATGGTGGTCATGGGCGTGGCTCTGAGGGCTTTGAAAGGAGAGCATATGAAAGTCTCTGTCTGCTTGTGCCCTCTAGCAATATGATGCCCTGTGTTGCTGTAATGCCACCAGCAAGGAAGATCCACAAAATACCTGGAACTGGGTAATTTGTAAGAAAATGAAATTTATTGCTTACAGTTTCTGAGGCTGGGAAGTCCAAAGTCCATCTTGGTGGTGGCAACAGTGACCCAGGGGTCTCACATTGCAAGATGGTGGAAGCAGAGAGGGCAGAGGAAGAGAGACAGACTCTCCTCTTCCTTTAAAGCCCTCAGATCCACACCCCTGACCACCATTATTAACTGGACTTTGGACTTCCCAGCCTCAGAAACTGTAAGCAATAAATTTCATTTTCTTACAAATGACCCAGTTCCAGGTATTTTGTTATAAGCAACAGAAATGGACTAATACACTTGGGTATTTGGCAGGTATTTCTTCAAAAATAAATGAAATGAGCCTGTTACTTCAAAGAAAACAATTTAGAAATATTTGTTGCCAATAGCAAAATTTGAGCTTTCGAGTGAAATTTTGAATTTTTGAAAATCTGTATCTGCCACTGTGAGCTTGATACCTTCCCAGTACTTTTCTGATGAGATTGGTGTGATATTAACTAATGTAGTTGTTTGATATTGTGTATTGAAATGTGTCAACATTTTGAAGCAATATTTTCCAAAGGACCAATATATGATGTAACAAAATCACACATTGGTAAAAGATCCATTCAAAGTGCAAGAAAGACCAATGGAATTTAATGTAACCATGGGAAAGTTTATTGATATGGTTGCATATTCCAATTGCAATTAACCTTTCAGAGATTACCATTTATAAGTTTTGGCATAGTATATAGTGTAAAAGAATATCCACATTTATCTGAAACAGCTATTAAATGCTCCTCCATTTCAATTATTTTATGTCTGTGTTAGGCCAGATTTCTTCATATGCTCAATTAAAATATATTAAAACAGACTGATGAAGTGGGCAGAAGAATACAGCTCTCTTTTACAACCAGACATTAAAGGTATTTGCAAACATGTGAAACCAAGCTATGCTCATAACGATTTAAAAAAAAAAATTATTTAAAAAGTTCTGTTTATGCTAATATGTGATATATCTTTTTAAATTAATTAATATTTCAGAATTAGTTTTTGATTTCTAGCGTGTTAACCATTGATAGATATAACCAGTGGTGTGCTGGTAAATGTCTAACCACCGGCTCCCTGGCAGGGGGTGGGGGGAGGTGTGCTGATTTGTAAGTTTGCTGATTCCCATGGAGTGAACACTCTCACCATGATCGATTCCAAGCTCCCAATGTTACTGATGCAGAACTGGGAAGAGCCATGTGCCATCAGCCCACAGTGCGCCAGCTCCAGCACATCACTGGACATAACCCATGTAAGGTTTGTGGCATCCTCACTAATTTTGAAAAGTGAAGAAGAGTCCTGAGAATGCTTTTGAGAACAGATGTCCTAGGACCATCACGTTGTCTCTCATCCTCCTCCAGTGAGGAGGCATGGAGTTGCAGCCTCAATTACAAAAGTGCTTAAACATCAAATCCTAATATACTTAATATGAACATCTTAAAGTCTCTGCTCAGTTGCCTCTACCCAACCCCTGGCAAACACAAGACACCTGAATCTCTCTAGTCTATTCTTTTCTTAAAATTTTTTTCACTTTAAGGAGCACTTATTGGAAATTCGCTTTGGGAGGGCTCAGAGTTGATTCCAGCTTGTTCATGGTTTCTAGGTCACTTGTGTATGAAATCAGCTGAATAGAGATTTTCCTCTCAGAAAGTTGCGGGTAGACTGTGGATCTGCCACGTGCTGGGGGTGGGAGGAAGAACACAGAGCATCATAAGGAGGAATTTATATAAACAAAATACTTTATTATTTGAGAAAGAAAAGGCCAGATTACAAAATTTGTGTACTCAAGATCTGTTCATCACCATGCCAAAGGTTTATAAGGACTTTAGTTTCCACCATTATTAGGTCGAACCACATGAAACGTACCATCTTTGTAGATAAAAACCTAGTCTAACATTGGCAGCTTCATGCGGTTCAGCCTCATATAAAATGAGCCGACAGCTACAATTCCTTTCAGCAGCAAGATGTTCCCAGTCACATGTCTGTTTATATTGTAAACAGATGTCTGAGTGATAAATAGATCCCACTTGAGGAAAACATCCTGTGCTTAAACATACTGGAAACTGTCTTTTGTGGTATTTAGGCTGAGTTGTCCAGTTCTGGCTTGGTTCTTCCCAGCATGCCTTGCAACCCAACTGCAACCTCAGCACATGATGATCCTTTAGGGATGTCAGCCGCTGGTCCATGGCCACATGCCAGGGAATAGTAGAGACCAACCAACTGTGAACCCAGCTTGACTGGATCACGCATGAAGGTCAGGAATACACAGGTGACTCACATGCACCTTTGAAACCACTGCTAAAGTCACCACCTCGATCAAAACATTTTACTCAAATGAACTACTCTGATGCATTCTCTTCCCCACCTTGTTCGCCCTCTCTGTGCCTCTGGGCATTCTGTGTCCAAGAAAATAAGAAAGCTGTCTTGCTGCGGACATGGAGCAGGATGGAGCAGCATGCTATCCAGATAGCCAAGACACAACAGGTGAACAAAGATGGGGCAGACCACGCTTCATTCATGCCCCAGAGGTTTAATAAAGACCCCCCACCCCCACCTTTCAGCTCTGTTACAATATGTTTAACTTTACATGGAGCTGAGATAAAAATAAAGCTTTCTTACAAATTACATTTTTTTCCAGTGAATTACTTTTGCAGTAAAAATAGCTGCTACATAAGTCCCTCCTGATCTCTGAAAAGGAGTCACATATTTCTAAAAATAGTATTCTTATTTTAATCATACAGAGTAACTTGGGGCACAGGAAGGAAATGGTTGGTCAGGGAGAGGTGAGTTGTTGTGGAAACACAGTTAAACTAAAAAATAAAATAGGTCTTGCATATAAACTGGTTTAAAGGCATGCATAGAAGTGGAAAACATATACCGTTTGTCAAAAAAAATACTGCTTTATAGCTTTTACTTTACAATTAATGGAGGAGAAAGCAGAGAGGCCAGCTAAACCTCCAGATAATCACATTCAGTTTCTTGTAAAAATTCTTAAATGTACAAAGACCTTGCCAGATGATAACCAAGGCAAAAAACCCCACAGAAACACAAAAACCAGGGATTACCCTCTTAGACCTTATTCCCGTAGGCACGTTAAATGTAAATAACACACACCTTACAACTCTCAGTTGGCCCTTGGCAGATTAAATCTTTGTAAAATATCGTTATGTGCTATTGAAAAGTGGAATAAAACATTGCATGTCTGCATTCTTGTTTCATATACAGTTATATAATTATTTTAAATTACAATATACAATTTCTGTTAAATAGGACTGTTAGAAGACTTTGATAACAATGATAGGATTATAATAATATATACAAACTAACTTCTGAAATGGCACGATTGTTTCCTTCCCACCCTCCTACCCCTCTCAAACAATGAGACGGCTTCTGCATCTGCTGTTTCTGGTTGTAAAAGGCAGAAGAAAAATACGAAATGTTTGTGTGTGTCCACGACATGCTCGCTCCTTTGAGAGCCTCGAACAGCCTGAACCACCCTGTCACATGGCCCGCTCAGAGCTAGGGTGGCTTCACGGCGCCCTTCCACGTCTGTTTTCACTGAGTAGCGTTCTAAGCAGCATCTGCCCGTCAGCGGATTTAGTCGAGAAGCCGCGCCACCTTCTGCCGCAAGGGAGGCAGCCTTGTCAAAGAGGCGCGGTGTGGGATGAAATAAGGCCACTGCTTCTTGGCAACTTTCCCGGACGTAACTAATCCTGCCTTTCCTGGGTCCTTGGAGCAGTTGGTCAGGACGGGCTTCCCACTCCAGTCCCCCGGGCCCGGGCGGCACAGGGCAGTCCCCGAGACCTCAGTCCTCGGTGTCGGGCTGGACGCCCAGGATGGCATGCAGCTCTTCCGGCGTGAACCCCAGCAAGTTCTGCAGGTCGCACACGAAGCGGTACACGTAGCGCTTCCCCGACGTCTTGTGGATGATATTCTTGTCGTAATAGTAGCGTAAGCCGCGACTCAGCTTCTCATAGTTCATCTTGGGCTTGTTCTTCCTCTTTCCCCAGCGGCGGGCCACCTTGAGTGGACACGGATGGGAAAGCGTTAAATCCCACTTGTCAGCTAAGAAAAAGTGAATGACTTACCCCCATCATGACTGTGACACATGAGAAGTTGGCACCTGGAAGAGGCCCACAGGAGGGTCAATCTGTCTTTCAATACACACCCCAGGGCATTGTGTCCCTCAAGCAAAGTCTCTGCTCCCCTACTCCCAGCTCTCTGTCAGCAAAACCTCCCCCTGGGAGCCAAGGTTAAGAACCAGGAGGGTCCTGAGACAAGGGAAAGTCTGGTGTCACCCACCCTCTTGGGTTCTCAATCCAACTACTAAAGCTAACAGCTGCTCAGTGGGATTCTGAGCCACGTGATAGACTCATCCCTAGTGCTTGTTACCCAAGAGAATCGGGGAGGTGACAGATTTCACTCTATGGTGCCAGTGACCAAGGGCTTTTCTCTATGTTGTTCTGGAGCAGTTGATATCACACCTGCCCTCAGCCTTCTCCTCCAGAAAGGGTGATAGACTCATCCCTAGTGCTTGTTACCCAAGAGAATCGGGGAGGTGACAGATTTCACTCCATGGTGCCAGCGACCAAGGGCTTTTCTCTATGTTGTTCTGGAGCAGTTGATATCACACCTGCCCTCAGCCTTCTCCTCCAGAAAGGGCACCTGGTTCCAACCCACCAGGGCTGATGCTGGTTCTGCCGAGGAGCAGGGAGACAAGCCAGAGAGTCCGTTCCCCCTAGTGGGCAAAGGCAAGTTTCCTAAGGCACTTTCAGATGGTCAACAGGGAACCTCAGTTTGCAGCTTGGGTCTTTTGCTGAGACGACAGAGCAAGATGGTGAATCTGTCCATTCATTGTCCATATACACAGGGGACCCAGGGAACACCGTACACCTTTATCAACAAAGCAATGACTCCTTTTCAGTCTTCCCAACAGTCCAGAATGCCTCATACAGAAACCTTATTGGCACTGGGGAACCTCATCTTGTGCCCAGAAAAGTGAATTTGTGAACCCAACGGGGTGAATCAGGTGTTGGAGCCCATCGATTCCCCAGGGCTCTGGCCATACCTCGTCGGGGTCAGCAAGCTTGAACTCCCATCCATCCCCGGTCCAGCTGATGAATGACTGGCAAGACTTGTCTGAGAGCAGCTCCAGAAGAAACTGCCACAGCTGAATAGGCCCACTGCCTGCGGGGACAGAGAGATGGGTCACACTTTTCCACAGACTGAAAGCACAAAAGGCCCTGGCCGTCCTAACCATACAAGCTGATGTGAGCGCACAGACCCAACTCTGAACCAGGTTCCAGCGAGAAGCTCCAGGTGTTGGAGACATTTACTAACTGCTTCAATGGGACGGGCTGGACACTCAAGGGTAATGCTTTCCCCCCACCCCCCACTCCCCGAAAAGAGGGTCACTTGGCCAAAATGCTCTTCCCCTTGGTTGCCATGTTTGTTCTTTCTGGAAGAAAGTTCAGGGCCACCAACACTTGGTATTGAAACTCCTCATCCTGTTTAATCATTCCTTACGTAAAAATGTTCAAGTTCATTTCTAGGAACACCCACTGGGGCAGCTGAAGGAGCATTTCTCCACAGATAAGCACACTACTCGTGGGGTCCCCTCCTGCCACTTCCCTGTCAGAGGACCATGGGGAAATTGCTTAATGGAGACTCAGCTGACTCAGTAGCCATCTGGGGTAATACTATGGCGTCACCGCCCCTGCCTGGTAAAGGAGGCTTCACAAAAGTGCTTTTGTGTACCTCTTCTCAATTAATATTTAGAACTCCCACCTCGTGCAAGTGTCACAGTAGCCCTGTTTTAAAGATGAGGAATCCAGATGAGTTCCCGGATCACGCACTCATCAGTGGAATAGGAGAAAAGCCTAGATGTTCTGACCCTAAGCCCCAACTTTTTCCACCAAACAGCTATGGGCTGTCACCAATAAAGGCATTACAATAAAGCACAAGGGACAGGCATTCTGGAACCAGATAGAGGTGCGTGACCATGGAGAACTGTCTACCTCTGAGCCAACTTCCCCATCTGTAAAATGGGTTCACATCACCAGCCCTGCCAGGCTGTCCTGAGGGCTACAGGCCACATGCCTAGTTAACCACACAGGACTGGCAGGCAACAAATGGTCTCTAATATAACCATCAGGGTGAAAACACTGACACGACAGCTGTTGATTTTCTTATCAGGCCCTGAAGTCCCACGTGGGAAAACTATGCTAGTTTTCACATGCTTTTTGTGTGTATTTTAATACATTTACGTGGCTGTTTGTTTTAGATGACAGAAAAAAATGGATGCCTATGTATCCTATTTTAACCTATCAAATTTTTTTAAGTAGGTATTTTTTTAATCCACAGTGGCTCCCTATGGTCAAAATATGGGGGCGAGGGGGAGTCACATTTAAGGACACACAAAGCAATGAAAACAAAAAGTCTTGGTATTTTTGCTAACACATGGAGATATCGGGTTCTAAAACAGCTTTAGTATTTGTCCCCTGCCTAGAATAGCTCCCACCCAAACCTCAAAAGCAGGTGGATCTTACAAGCAAGAAAAGGTAAAGAGTCCCTGTATTACTGGAGCTGGCCCTGTGGCCCCTCCCTAGGCCAGTTTACATTATTTGAGATTCCTGCAGCGGGTGAGTCAGGGCTGAAGCCTCCACAGCCCAAAGTCCCTGCTCCTCCTCCTCTTTAGAACATCTAGGTAAAGGGAGTGGCCTGACAATTTCCATCCACTCCACTGAGCTCTATGTACATGAAAATTCCTCCAAGGTTGGCCTGTTTGGAATTCAGAGATATCGCTAGCCATGCATAAAATGTGGATTGTAAATGTGACATGCTTAACCTAGAAGCACCCTGGATCAAATGGCACTGGGGCTAGGCAGGAAACAGGGGACGGGCCCAAGGAGAGCAGTGACCAGGCTCCCACGGGTGCACTCACCCGTGAAGCCAGCCAGGACAGCCGCAGGTATAACTGGTTTGCCTTGCTCCACGGGGTCACTCCTGTCTTGGATGTAGTCCTTGAAAGACATGGTCGGCTTACTGAGGCAGAGAGACTGGCTGCAGTCGTCCTCCAGGCTCTCGAAGGAAGGTACCCGCTGCACATCCAGCAGGGATGACTGGCTGCTCCAGGACTGCAGCAGCGGGTCGGTGCTTTCGAAGCTATCCGTGCCATTCTCGGAGGAGGCATGGTCTTTGGGCTTCCCTGGCAAAGAGAACCGAGCACCTACTTTGACCCCTCTAGGACATGGAAATGATCCAGGACTACTGAGTAAGAACCGCTGGCCAGTTGTGGGATTGGCCACAGTGGCAGGATCGGCCACAGTGGCAGCATCACCAACCACCCCAAATGCAACCATGCACCCTGCTGGTGTAGAATCATTCAGATATTTCAAAATGCTCTTATGCTCAGGTGCCTCAACCTAAGGATGGGCACAGTATACAAATCACCCCTTCTGTCAACAGTGGCATGGACAACATGTAGCTGCCTGCAATAGAATATGATACAGCAATGAAAAAGCACAAATAGCTGCTACATCCAACAACATGAGTGAACCTCAGACATAATGATGAGCAAAAGACAGATCCAAAAGAAAACACACTGTATGATTCCAACTATACGAAGTTCAACAACGGCACCAACTAACCCTGATGGTAAAAGTTAGCATGATGGTTTCTTCTTGGAGTGGGGATGCTATTGACTGGGAAGGGGTACAAAGGAGCCTTCCGGGGTGCTGGAAACTCCTCTATCTCCATCTGGGTGGCTGTTACACAAGTGTGTATACGCATGCACAGATTCAAACAGTTGTACAAGCTGAGATTTGTTCATTATATAAATGCTACACCTCCATAAAAAGCAATCTGTCACATTCCTACAGCATCTCCACAAAATATCCCACTGGGTGGAGGAATCTGGCCGCAAAAGCAGGGATTGTGCCTTATTTATTTAACACCCACAGTCCCTGTACCAGCACCTGAATCACATTAGGAGTGCGCCTATTACAAAGTCACTCAGAACATGGCCTGTCCTGTGACCTCCTTCTCTAATGGCTGGACACAGGGCAAATTTGTTATGAAGTTCCTATCACTGTCTGACTGTGGCTCTCAGCATCAAACCGACGGCCACGCTGAAAGACTCTTCTGATCTTACCAGAATTGTTGGTGAGCAAATTCAAGTTGCTGCCTGGGAAGTCCTGGTTGACGGAGCAGTAGTTGACGCTGACAGTATCAAGCCGAGACTTGGGGAACATCTGAAACTCCTGCTCGGAGCCCAGCCTGCTGGGTGCTGAGGACGGCGGACACATGCTGTCCAGGAGAGTGCCTTTGGCGTAGCTCTGAGCCTGCGTTCCATAGGGCGCCTGCTCCACTCCGAAACCTGAACAGAACCACCAACAGCAGAGCTCTGAAGTCAGTGCTAACATGATAACCAACCTGCAAAGGACATCACAGGTGCCTGCTCTGCACGCTCCAGCCTCTGCAGAACCTCGGTGCCGATGTGGCTCTGGTGGACCATTTGGCACGAAGTCCTCTTTTTCTCAATCCATTCATCTTCCCAACCATTAACCCCTTTTCCAAACTGACTGCTGCCGCTGGCCCCAGGACTCAGTGCTGTATTTCTGTGGCTCTTGTGCCTTCACATGACCCTCAGAATGACAGGGCTCACGGGCTCTTCCAGCTTCCGTGGAAGGTAAGGCTCAGAGAGACTAAGGGATTTGTCACACAGTATGTGACTCGTGAGGAGCAGAACCAGGCCGGAAAACCATGTGTTCAGATACAAGTCCGCATCCGCCTTCTCTGCCACCACACTGCTCCCACCTCCCTTCATCGGGGAATAACTTGTTTCTGGAGACGAAAGGAAGCTATCTCTTTGTCACTTTGACTCAAGCTCTGGCAAGCAGAGGGTCTCCCACTGCGCTATGCTTAGAAAGACCTGCGGAGCAGTGAACCCCGGGGCAGGGCGGGGGGTCTTCACCTGGTCTGAATGGTTGAGCTGGGGCCATCACCACCAAAGCTATTGTTCTGATGACCCCTCCCCATGCTGGCTCCGACTGACCACCCGGTAACCTACCCTCACCAGTACCCCTGACCAGAAGGAAGGACCCAGATTCCCCGACAGCACTTTAAACCCCTGAGGTCAGAGCAAGTTTACTACTGCTTCCCACACGCTCTGGGTGCCTGCCACCTCTTATCTGTTAAACCAGCTGAATTCCTGGTCACCTCCCTCTGCTCCTCACTCTCTAGCACGTGCCTAGACCAGCGCTGACCAATGGAAAGCTAATGCAAGCCACTCACGCAGTTTTATACCTGCTAGTGGCCACATGAGAAAAGCAAAAAGGGACAGCTGAAGTTAATTTTAATATTTTACTTGACCCAATATATCAATGATCATTTCAATATATAATCAATATGTTAAAAATTGTCAAGGAGATATTTTACGTTCTTTGTTTCATACTAAGACTTCCACATCATCTGGTGTGCATTATATCCTTGCTACGCATCTCAGTGTGGACCAGGTACATTTCTTTTTTTTTTATCTCAAAATTGAAAGTTTAATTAAAAAATAATCTGTTATGTTCAAATCACAATAATACATTGTTCAGTAATACATTGAACGTTTCAAAAGGAGAGAACAGAACTGAGGTTACCAGAGGGAAAGGGGGAGGAGGAGAGGGATTTAATGAAAAATTGGTAAAGGGCCACAAAAAATGATTACATTGTGTAATGTTGAATATACTAATTATCCTGATTTGAGCATCACATATTGCACACAGGTATTGATATTCAACACAGTACCCTATAGTTATGTACAATCAATTATGTTTCAATAATAAAAATTAAAGAAAAAAACAATAAAATATGTTGTGTTCAATTACTTAGTGCTGATTTCTTAGAATTCCAGAGAATGGAATCATTCTGCAATTTTCATGTTTGTTTATAATCTTTTTTTTTTCCTAGACTAATATACAGTTATTTCCCTGGGTTGAAGAGATACCACTGAACTATGATGTATACCCACAGAGGATATCGACAGAGGAGCTCTTGAACAAATTCATTTATATAAGATTCTCTAGTAACTATAAAATAGTTGTAATGTTATGTTGAATACACAAAATAATGAAAAAGAAACATAACCCTGATATACTAACACATGTTTTTCTGTATACTCCCTTCTAGTCTTTGTACATATGATTACATATTTGTAAACAGTTGTCTGTGTGTGTATAAAACTTTGTTCTGCTTTGTATGATAATATAATTAAGACATTTATCTGAAACTTTTTGCTTCTCTCTGGTTTCTTTTTTTCTGTTAAAAATATAAATGTGTAGGGCCGAGCCCGTGGCGCACTCGGGAGAGTGCTGCGCTGGGAGCCCAGTAGCGCTCCCGCTGCGGGTTTGGGTCCCACATAGGGACGGCCGGTGCGCTCACTGGCTGAGCGTGGTGCGGCCGGTCACACACACACACACACAAATATATATATATATATATATATAAATGTGTGCCTGTCTTTAGTCACTAATTCTGTATGCCAAGTCTATATATGACCAAAAAAAAAGACTAGAAGTATCTTCTATCATGAGAGAACGGTGGAGGGGGATGGTAGGTTATATCGTGACCAGGTACATTTCAACAAGAGCCGAACACCCATGTGTGGCCACCTGGTGGGACAGCATGGGTCTAGAATGGCCCTTTAGAGATTTCGTCAGAGTCCAAGTCTGGCGGGAAGACTTAAGCATGAGTGCTTAAGGGCAAAATCAGTTGGACTGACCTAATGTATTGCTGTTGATCCAATGAGGAACTGAGTTGAGGTGTGAATTTTCTTCATACTGATCGTCTGTCTTCTCTTGGTTTTCTGAAAAACAGACACATGAGACATAAGATAGCAGATCTAGTTAGTAAAAACTACACAGGAAAAAAGTTACTTTCTGAATTACTGTTAGATGGTTACTGCAGAGTGACTAAACTTGCTTAGTGTTTCACATTCAATCTGATGGTGCTCCGTGTCATTGTGTCTTTTCAAAAGACAAGAGACAGAAACACATTTTTCTAATAACTAGAATAAGTTTTCCAAAATGAATGACGTCATTGGCAAAGTTAAATTTTCTATTGCAAAATTTGAAAGATCTGGATTGTGTACTTAACTCGTTCCTATATTCAAGAAATAGGGAAATACTTATGAAATACCATCTGTACCAGGGGCTGGGAATAGAGCAGATTAATAAAATGGACTTACAGTCCACTGCTTCCAACCCAGGAATCTTCTCCAGGGCATGATAAAGTCTACAGTGCTGTGGGAGATTGTAACCACATGCTTGAGAACTTTGAAAGGGACAAGGTTTGCCTTCTCTGTGTATGTGTACTTATTACAAACACGCTCAGTCACATATGCGAGTGTACTTCCAAAAGTTTATGGAAAAACAGAATCGAAAGATAATCTTTCCATGAACTTTTGGAAGTACCCTCATATATCTATAAATCCAAACACACCCAAACTCACATGCCCAAATAATGGCAAAACAGACCCAATTTGCTAATAAACAGATTTGCCAGAAACTGGTCAGAGAAGATCTGTCCAAGATCAGAGAAAATTTTAGGGTCTTTAAAAATAAGTTTTCCTGGCCCTCTGAAGCCGTAACTAAATAATAGAGTGGGCGGTTGAATCCTAGGTCTTTTTGAGATTCTGACTCTATAGCAGATGTACAAATTTGTGTTTAAAATCAGTTAAATGGGAAGTACTTCCTCAAAGTTTACAAATGTGCTAATTTTCTTACATTTTTTAAATTAAATTTTCCCTATTGTAATTTTTTTTTTCTAATTCAATGTATTTTAAACATTGGTCCCACTGCTCTTTTAGATTCTGAATCAAGACTTTCTCTATACTTGGTGAGATTTCTGTTGATAAGTGGTCATTTTCTTTACAATATGTCAGTGTATAAATACATATTAATTACTTGTTTAAAAACATAAACACCTCCCCCCCACCTCAAATTCTCTGTGCTGGATTGTATTTGGAAAACTTACTGTAAAGTTCACAGAGTGTATCTGAGTAAAGGCTCCCTTTCATTGAGGCTGACATTTCTTTTGGCTCTGTAAGGTTAGCTCACAGAACACGGGAATTTTTGCTGGCCTACACATCTGAGTCAACACGGACTCCCATGACGAATGCAGTCTGGCAATAGCGACAATCCAATGACTCAGGCTACTGCCTTATGGCTATACTTGATGCTACACACACATGCACGTACTGCGCGCACACACACACTCTTACTTAAGTGGACTGAAAATCTGTAATCACCACTGCATACGTGACTCACTTGAGTGGCATTTTGAGGCAATTTAGTCTACATCATTTGAAATGCCAGCCCTAAGGGTGAAGACCACCCACCTGACTCCTCCCCTCCCCCGTCACTCCCTTGCCACAGCTTCCCTCAACAACAGGGAGCCAAGTCATTCAGCTGGTACCTTTGATCATCTGCTCCAGATGTTCCCAGAGAATGTCGCCAACAAAGTCAGGTGCCAGCTCCAGAAAGCGCTCCTTGCCAAGGTTACACAAAACTTGGCCGTTCATGCCAAACCTCTGGAGATTGACGTTTACCAGACTGAACTCGTTGGTGGCCCAGAGAAGCCACTGGCACACCTGCTGCTCGTTCCACAGCCAGGGGTCTACCAGGGAGGAAGAAAAAGCAGAATGCTTGAGGTAAAAAAAAAAATGGAGCAACTGTGAGACCCGTCACCCCCAATTTATTCACATAGTCCAGACATACACCAAAACCAATGAAATGAGCAAGACACCATTCTGACACGACCCAGGGGAATTCTAAGATGATCTCTCATGACAATTCCTTCTAATACAGATTTAATGACTGCTAAATTAAGTGTTCAGTTAACTGGGTTGAGATAAAAAGGGCTCAGGTTAACTACATGTATGCTACTCTTTGCAAGACATCCTGAACAAAAGTGTAAAAAATAAGTCAAGATCGCAGCTATCAAATTCGTTCTTCCGGCACCAGGCAGACTCAGAAAAGCAGCACTTACTCTTTGGGATGCCGAGGCGGCGCTGCTCCTTTTTGAAGCCACTGAAGGTAGCTTTTAAAGCCTGACTCATCACAGCTTTGCTGCATGGAGTTAACAAAGGCAATTCACAGCTGGTCGAGTCTAGAAAGAAACACCACCAGGACATCAGGACTTCAAGTTGACAATATCCAATGAAGAGGTAGGAGAAAAATCTTAGTTTTCAGAAAAATTTTTGATCCCAAACCTTAACATGATTCCTTAAAAAAAGTGTAAATATTAACAAAAAAAGTCGTTTTTTTTTTGACTGAAATTAAAAAGATATTCAGAACTACACTTCTGTAAAAAATCTAAAACGAAACTCAGGTTTTATTCTATTTTGCAAAGCTTCATAAAGCAGTTATGAATAGGTAAGATTTCTATCTAAGTCTATTTTAAAATTTTAGACAATGAAAGGAATTGCACAGTTTTTGGTCAAAAGGCTTAAGGAACTGGTAAAGGGACTCAAAAATCAACTACATTGTATATTCATAAAGTAAAATCTAAAAAAAAAAAGGCTTAAGGGATTGTAAATGCATAATTTGGAAGTTACTTCCAGTAAACTAAGCAGCAGGTGCAGAGACATGAGTACAATCTGAGCGTAAAGCTCTCAGCCCTGTAAAGTAGGCACGCCTTTCTTTTTTGCTGAAAAACTGTCTTCTCTGGATACATTGAGCAATTTCAAGAATGATAAATGACTGTCACACCATGCTATGCTTACGCAAGTGTATGTGTTTTCATTAATTTTCTGGGCTGTATTTTCTACCACCTACTTCATATGACAGAGTAATCTCTGGAATGTTTCCAACTAATAACTCTATCACAGTAATTGCAGAGACATTATCTGACATGCCATTCCTTTAAAAAGAATAAACAATGACATTAAGAACTACAGAAATAAATACAGATGGGTAAAGATTTCCAAGAATAATTTGTTGCCCCAAAACTCGGGGTGGGGGAGGATGACTTAACTAAGGAGGAAAACCCAGAATTAAAAGTTGGGGTGCATCTTAACATCCACTGTTTTATGTCTGTTTTGCAGAGTAGACCAGGGAGATGAGGACCACTGCTAGCTGAAAATTTCCATAATGGGAATCTCAGGGATTCCTCTGCAGTTTACTAACAAACAGCAGCTCCCTGGGGTGCGTCTGGCACGTGAATCAGGTTCACACAAAAGGAACAATGCCCCCTCCCAGGTCCAGAACTTCTATGTGACTTTTCATACCAAACATTTAAGATCCCAACATTCACGGACTGCCATCTCTTAATTAACTGAGCTACTTAGGGAAATGGTGCACAATTTGTCAAGTCTGAGGAACAAGTTACCATGAGAAATTGAGTCCAAGCCTGTGGGCACTTCTTGGAGCGTTTGCTCTTCATTCAGTGAGGGGAAGACTGCAAACAGGGACCCGTCGAAAGTGTCGAAGGCTGGCTGGCGCTGCAGGAATGGATGAAGAGAAAATGGAAATATGATAGTAAAACTTACTCCATTACCTACTTTAAAAGCGGGCTATGGGAATCTCACCAATACACCCTGATTAAACTAGCAACTATAAAGCAACGCATGGAATCAACCAATCAGCACTCAAAACAGACTTCTAAGATGTCAAAGTGACTGAGCCGATTCTGTTTTACTCTGGATTATTTAATTACCCTCACAGAGTCAGAATGGCTGGGAATTTATTTTACTGGCCTCATCAACTTAAATTAATAAATTAAAGAAATCTAAAAATAACAGAATCTTAGAACAGTGCCAGGAGAAACCTCAGAGATCCCTTTTCCCAATACCTGGCCCTCCTGTTACATCAGAGAAAAATTTGATTAGGTTGTGTGTACATGAACAATGACTCTTGAAAAGGCAGTTTTAGCACAATGAATTTAAAAGGAAAGGCAAATGACTGGATGCAAACTGAAAATCAAACAATGAAATAAACTACTTTATCTTTGGAAGCATTTATTTTGAAATGTTTACAAGGAAACAATTTAAACTAGAGATGTTTTTTCTCATCAATTCCAATGATTCACAAAAGAGTAATACACAAGAAAATTCCTTAAGTTTTCATTTCATAAAAGTAAAGTGTGCTAAAAAGAAACTCCCCTCTTCCCCCAAATCATCTACTGGGGAAAGATTTCCAAAGGAAATAGGCTTAAAGTTAAATAAGCTGTAGTGTAGGGGAAAGAAGAGGAGAGATACACATAGAAAGATAAAACCTTATACTGTGTCGATTTCTGACAATCTCACATAACATTTATGAAAGAAACAGGCTTTGTGTAAGACACATTTATAAGAAACAGATATCTTGATTCATCATTGCCTAACTGGTTGAGGAGAGCATGAAGAAAGATTATATGTTTCCAACATAAACTGGAAATCCCATACAATGACCTATCTGTTGAGTCATCAATAAAAAAATGTGTAACATATTTACAAATAAAATTTGTGTGCTTTCTTTCTAGAAATGCAGAACAATGAATGGTAAATTGCAGAAGAGGACAGACAGAAGTTGGGAGGCCTGCCCTCCAAAATCCAAGACAGTGATGATATCCTGAAATCTAGGAGGGAAAACCAATTAAGCAAGTGTAATATACTCATCTGGATTTATAAACTACTTTAGAGCAGAGCTAATTTTGCTGAACCATCCAGCATATTTTAAGACATGCCTTTCCTGACTGTAAGTTCTTTTTTTAAAACCAGGAAGCCAAAGAACAATGCAAATCCGTACTTCGTATTTCAACACATCAATTTCAGCAATGACTGTTTCTTCTCCAAATCTAGGAATTGCATGAGCATCATCAATTTTTTTTTTTTAATTCATAGAAGGGCTTTTCTTAGGGGCGTGGTTTCAACTTAATACCATAGTTTCTTGTACAGTTTCTGCCACACTTTTAAAACATCTGAGCAAATCAAACAAGAAAACTCACTAGCCTGAAGTTTGATGACCTTCATAATACTCTAGAAAGACCTGTGCCGAGTTTTGGCTGTTTGGGCTACATCAGACAAATAACCAGATTTACAAAGGAAAATGTAAGGTCAGAGATATATCATCATTATGCAAGACATGCAGCTTTGAGGAGGCCAATTTTAAAATCACTGCTTCTGAACATGTTTACTACATGATGCTAAGAAACAATCAAATCTTGCTATCACATTTGGAAGAGGCAAATGGAAAATTACCAGTTTGTGTTACTAAAGAATGTTCCCAAAAGGAATTATGATAGAAGCTACATGAAATTTGTTTATGCAGCAGAGATGGTGCTTACATCTTTAATCTGTTTTTTTGGTTTACATAAACAGGCCTGCTTTGTGCCAGTAAGAACAGGCTGCCTACAACCCGTGGGCAATGCCCCTTCCGATAAAAGCAGCAGTAGTTGTCTGTTTTTCCTGGGCTCTTTCATTAAGGATCTTAAACAGCTTTCCCATCACCCAAGGAAACTCCTGGGGGGATAGAAAAGGCAGTAGAGATATCTTCTCTGCCTGTTTTATTGAGAATCATAGGATTTTTCATCTGGAATGAACCTCAGAAATATATTACAAAGTTCTCACTATCTACAAATTAAATCGTTCCCTATCTTGGAGGACAAGTAGAATAAGATCAACATACCCATTTTATAGACTAGAAAACTGAGGCCCAGAGAGAGTAAGCCAATAGTCCAGAGTCACAGAGCCAGCAAATTAAAAAGCTAGGGCTAGAACCAGTCTTCTGGAACCCAGCCCATCATTTTTTCTCCTAGAGATTGAGTTTTCCAAATTTTAAAGAAAAATTTAATTAAAACTTGCTCACTCACCTTGAGTGTTCCTCTGAAACTGTTAGCCACAGGGGCTACCTGGTCCATGTTCTTGATTCCAAAATCGCCAAATTTTAAAGAAAAATTTAATTAAAACTTGCTCACTCACCTTGAGTGTTCCTCTGAAACCGTTAGCCACAGGGGCTACCTGGTCCATGTTCTTGATTCCAAAATCATTCATCTTAAGAAAGAAAAAAAAAAAAGAGTCAAAGAGGCAACCAATTAGGTACATTTGGAAGAAGTCATCATTGGTGACATCCAGACTTGATCCTGGCAGAGTTCTACAGATAACGGGTAATTCAAAACTGAATGCAGGAACTCTTATTTACAAGGCTTTCCTCCCAAAGGTCTCAAGGAGAAAGTATTTCTTAGTATTAACAACGGGGTATGCAATTTAGGTAATTAAATAGGTAAGCTGCTTCCCCACTGAATTCTTCTTAGATAAGATGCACAGATAAAGTCACTTTTTGGCTGGAAGGTCAGAGCCTCCTTGCTGGGTTAGCAAGGAGGACTGTCATTCTTTTCATTGACATTTCCACATCAACTTAGGCGAGGGCCTGGGGGTTGCCAGCCAGGGTGTTGGGCCACCTCCTGTCTTCATGGGGCACAGTCAGCTCCACCTGGGAGCCTAAGGTCAGCTGCAGGGGTCACCTGTCCTGGCAGCTCCCATTGGATCCAGATCCAGAAAAACATGCTGGAAGGAGTCTGGGAAACCCCCCTGTCTTCCCCTCCCCTCTCCGAGTTGTGAGGAAGCACACACCCAGGCAGGGGAGAAAAGGGATAACTTAAGGCCAAAACCTCTTGCGTTGTCCCAGATCCTCCTGCTGCAGTACAGAGCTCAAAATACTTCTGCTTTGTGTGTTGCTCAGCTGTGCATTTCTTCAAGAGGAAGTAATTCCAAGTACAAATCTGCCCCACTTGCTTTGACGGACTCTGGGCTTATAGTAGACCTGTGCTAACCAATATGGTAGCCACTAGCCACGTGTGGCTACCAAGCACTGGACATGTGGCCAGTGTGAATTGACATGTGCTCTCAGTGTAAAATACCCACTAGATTTCAAAGACTTAGTAGAAAAAAGTAAAATATCTCAATCATTTTTATATTTACTGCATGTTTATATAATATTTTGAATATATTAGTTTAACTAAAATATATTAAAATCAATTTCAACTGTTTTACTATTTTTAACATGGCTATGAGAAAATTTAAAATCACATATGTGGCTTGCAATTGGATGATGGTATAATAGACTGAAAACTTTTTTGAGGCCCTAAAATGTAATTGTTTGGCCAGGTAAGTTATATATCAATACGTAAGAAAGGTTCTTAGATGATACCGCGGGGGTATCTAAAAAAAATAGAGTAACTAAAACTCACTTTCAAATAACCCATGTTAGCACCTGTGAGAGTAACCTTTACCTCCAGGGCTGTTCCTCACCCTTCACGGCCACGGAACCGAAGACCTAGAACGAAGCTCTTTGGAAGCACCCCTGATTGCCCACCCCATAATCTCCACTGGATGCCCCCACCTGTTACAATCAAGAACTTCAAGTAATTAAAGTACTGTTCAACTGACAGACCTTACTAGATAGGGCAATTAGCATATTCTCACGGAATTAATTTCCATCTGTGCTTTCCTGTTTTCTCTTTATGATCAAGGTGTCTAAACCAGAGCTCCCGTCAACCCTGCCACACACACCACTTGGCTAAAAAGGCAGCAGCGTACGTGAGAGGCACTAGAAAGGGCTGTTCAAACCTCAGAGAGCAGGGACTGATGATGGCAACCAATATATGACAGTCCTATGGGAGCATGGGGGAGGGGGCGTCCTGGCTCAGACAGGGCCACGTTTGCTCCTAATCTCCACTTGGCAGATAATGTCACTCACATTCACTCGAGAATCAATACTCGCTCCTACTGATGGCTGCCACCGACAGAATGCCTAGTCACCAAAGGCTAAGCCCCAGCCAAAGGACCATACATTCCCACCTCCTGGAGGCTTCTTGCATTCCTGAGAGGTGGATGTTACACCACCTTACAGTGAAGCAATGCAGCTGGCACATCACACAACTACTGAGTGGGCCAATGAGGACACCACGAAGGGGCAGAGTGGAGATAAACCCCAGGGAGCATGGGCCGCAATCCTGAGACCCTGCACTATGCCAGCAGAACAGGAATGACGGGGAGTGGGCCCTTCCCCACCAAATGCTGCGAGAGCTGAGCATACAGATTTTATCACGCTAGGCCCTTCTCACTACTATCTACCATGTGAATGCTGCTGAATTTAGAGCTCGCTGTCATCCATCAGGAGCAAAGAAGTCCTGTTACCTGTTGATTAAATAAGCCTTTAAGCACAAGGCCTAAATGACAGACATCTTGGTATTGCCAACAACCCCTCCGGAGCCTGATGGGTCAGCTCCGTTCCTCCCTTCAGTTGGTTTCCAGACTGTGATGGACAGAGCATGGACGTGGAAGGCAATGGAAAATCTTCGCCCAGCTTTTGTGTACAAATACCAGGAGAAAAGGCAGCCTACTAACCACTCCCACATAAAGAGCTGTAATTACTAGCTACAGAATAGAATTCTTTTGTTGTCCGGCTTTTAATGAGTTTTGTAAAAACCATGTGGAATTAAAGTGCTCTACTAAATGGTTTCAGGCAGACAAAAAAGTAATCAAATTTAACTTCACTTGTGCTACTCAACATGGCTTGTTAAGGTGGCAGACAGGCCAGGTGTCTCCACATAAATTAGTTTCAAGTTTAGTCCCTTTTGGTGTTGCCTGATTGATCACTGCTTTTGAACAACAACAATAAAAAAAAAAAAAAAAAAAAAAAAAAAAAAAGGGAAAATGGCAAAAATGTAAGAGCTGGTTAAATTAGAAAACAAGGAGAATTTGCCCGACAACAGTATCCCGTACCGAACAAGTAAGCACTTACGTAAGATTAGATCACAGGTTTGTATTTAGATAAATTTGGAAAGAACAAAAGAAAACCTGTAACACACTTTTGAAGCTTTTTCGCTAGGAAAGCGATCAGTTTAGAGAGATGAATGACTAATCCCAGAAATGAGTATTTGAATATTTCCCTGCGGGGCGCCCCGTGCTAACATTTACTGTACCGTGATATTGCTCAGAATTTTAATAAAGCTTAACGTGGAGATTTATCTCCCTGATTGGTGGTGGTGTGGGCAGGCAGATAGCTCACGGGAGCTTCCATTGTGTGGAACAAACAATCTCTTACTGTTGAATTAAAATAAATTACTCCTACCTCCGCAGGGAACTGCTCGCTTCGCTTTCTAAATACGTAGCACATCAACTACTATTTTAGGCTACCCTGAAATTGAGTATCGGCTAACAAAAAAATCTCATGCGCTTAAAAAAAATTATGTACATAAAAACACACAACCCAAACACAAACACGCAAACGCTCACGTTTGCCACTTCATTCGGAGGATTTAGGAACGAGAAAATAAAGGCAGTCCGGCGCATCCAGATCCCCACTTCCGACAGGTTCCCCAGGCTCGCCCCACAGGACCGAGAGGCCCCCGGCCCGGGCCCTGGACGTGGCCGAGCAGGTGACCGGGGGGCCCAGCGCTCGGCACGTTTCGGGGAGCCGCAGCCTCCCAGGTGTGTTAGGCGTCGGGCGTCCGGGTCACTTCGGACACTGTCTCCTGCGCCCCCAACTCCCTTCGCGAAATCCGGACCGCTGGGGAGCCCACCGGGCAGGACGCCCCGCCAGGCCCACGTTTCCTTTTGAAAACAAAAGCAAGTGGAACCAGCCAGCGCGCCCCGCCCGCGCCGGCCACTCGGTGACCCCGGGGCAGCGGCTCAGCGCCACCCCGAAGGCCACTCGGGAGCCGGAAGGCGAGCCGGAGCGGCACTCGGACGCGCGACCCTCGGGTCCTCGGAGCG